TTTTTTTTTTTTGCAGGGACTGCCCCCCGAAGATGAGAGTTTTCTTACCTTGGTCTCTCATTCCGCAGCCCGGATCTGAAGACCATGCTTCTGCATCAGGTTAGAGCACCAGCTCTTCGTCAGCAGACACCTCTCTTGGTTGATCCTCCACAGGGCTCAGACCCGCTAATTCTCACCAGAACGAGGAATTAGACAGGGGGGTCCACCCTACACTCATTTTGCTTTCCTCTTCCTTTCAATTGAGCCAATCTTTCGCTTTTCTCCTAATATTATTAATCTTATCATGAGTTGTGTAACGAACGTTAAGATGGCTCTTTTGGGAGGCCCCTAATTTTTTCTCCCCATCTCGTGGCCTCGTGTTGATAAAGCCCTTATTTATTTGTTCTATGTATGGAAAGGTTATCGATGCTGATTGAGCAGAAAGTGCAGAGTGGAGTTTGGAAAGGTGTCAAGGCTTCCAGGGGTGGCCCATTCATATCACATCTGAAAAACGCGGATGATCTGCTGCTCCTGGGCAAAGCCACGGAAACTCAGCTAGAGGTCATGATGGACAGTCTGCAACTGTTTTGTGATGCCTCGGGACAGAAGGTAAACAAAGCCAAGTCACCTATCTTTCTATCCCCTAATGTTCCCACAGCTAGGGCCAGGCAACTAAGCAGCACCTGCCAGATACCTCTTGCAACTGATATGGGGAAGTACCTGGGTATCAAGCTGGTGCAAGGAAGAGTCACGAGAAGCTCTTTTGCAGATATTGTGGAGAAAGTCAACAAAAAGTTTACTGGCTGGAAAGCAAAGTCTCTCTGCAGAGCGACCCTTGTGCAGTCTCTTACGTCAGCCATTCCCCAATACAAGATGCAAACAATGGCATTACCTGCAGCAGTGTGTTCCGAGGTGGATAAAATGAACAGGAAGTTCCTTTGGGGGGATAGAGCTGAGCAAAAAAAGGGTCTACCTTGTTAAATGGCAAGAAGTTTGTCGAAGCGGTCTGAAGAACGTTCAAGTACAGAATCGGGCCTTTCTTTCTAAGTTAAATTGGAAAGGGGACCAAGGACAAGAGTCCTTCGGGCTAAGTATCTACATGGAGATT